TGATGCCCCGATAGGGCAAAGTGCGCTTGGCGGGGGTAGTAAACGAACACATCTGAGAAGTGGTGCCTCGACTGTACCCTTGCCTCGATTCGGTCTTTCATTGCAGTCTGTAGTATGCCACGGAAAAATCTTTCAATGCACCATTGTGTAGCGAAGTACAGAGTGTTACACAAGCCTAATCCTGTATGAATTGTGAGTCTTCTACACGCAACCTAAAGTCTGTGTACTTAGTTGTGTTGACGAAGAAAACTTTACTGCCTCAAGTGCGCCAAATTTCCCTCTTTATGGTATTTGGAAAACTGCAGCATAATGGCAACATTCATGAATCCTGATGGGTTTCACCCTGAATGAGCTTCTATTTGATATTGACTTTCTATCTGGAGTTGAAGTTGAAGACTCAAAGTTTGTTTACTTTCCACAACCAAAGTCATGCTTAAAGACAGCCCCCGCGCTCAAGTAGTACATGGTCGTCCTTCCTTGTGCAAGTAGTACAGCCCCCAAGCTAGAGACTGTCCCACTCTCGCGACTCCACAGCAAGCGAAGAGCGAGCTACCACGTTTCAGTGTGACTCCATACATAAATGTAAAGACGCTTCCACGTTTCCTCGCGATAGCATGTGAAACGACCACGCGGGGATAAGACCCTCCATAACTCCGTTCAGAGAATCGTTCCGCAAATTCTGAAGGTAGATTTGAGTTCACTGTCCCAAGACGCGTACAACGGTGTGCAGCTCATTGGAAATGGCCAGGCTGACCTGTTGACCTTTCCTGGTAAGTGGGCTGCGGTTAGATGTCGTTAAAGGCAAGTGGCAGGATAAATTAACAAGGTAAACGCCTAGCACCAAAGAACACTGTGTCGCGTAGCAGGCGCTGCGTGGCGTCTTTTCCAACCAAGGGCGCCGTTATGACGCCTAACCAATTTGCGACATGGCGACCCAGACGTCCCACCGCAACCGCCCACCCACAAATGCACACAGTCATATCGACGCTGATACTTCTATCGCTTCACTTTAAGAAGTGCAGTTGATATAGCGTTGCTACATTTATATATGAATACAACCAGGCAGCCGTACGTCGTTGGCACGATGCCGATGGGAAAGTCCAAAAACGCTCTTCCAGTGTCGTGCAAAGCAAAGATTTTTCCGCTTGTATTTGGCCATTTCACTTCGTTTTTCTTCATTTCCCTTTATATAGCCCCCTGCTACTGCTTTGAGCAGTACCAAATTATTGTGCCTCACGCCTCGGAAGATGTATGTGAAACGTGGCTTTGTTCGACTCGATGATAAGAATGAACAGTTCAGGAGGCGTTGTAGTCAAACATGAGATGCATACACGTTCTCCACATTCGTTCTCATTTCAAATTTCCTGTCGTTCAACCCGAATACGGCAGCGTTGCCATAAAGGGTTCGGAACATAGTCATGGCCATTTATAGAATGACTAGTTACCCTTCACAAGTCGACGCGTCATTTTTCGGTAATGGGAAGGAGAACCGCTTGCTCTATTCCCGTGCTTAAAGTGCTTTCGTGCTTCAAGTGCTTCCTGTTACGGCTACCTTCAAGGTGAAAACTAACTGCCTGAGATTCCTCGCCCTTCTTGGAACGGTTTATTAGGTATGACCATGAGCAATGTCGGTCTCGTCGAGTGTTATGTTAATGAGTACAATAACTTGTTCAGTTGAGGGTGGTAATGCATAGCCCACCACCAGTCTTCAGTTGTTCTACAGCCTCCCGCCGTTTTGCGGCATTATGGTTTTTGCACACTTGGAGGGCGTTTTGTAATCTTCTATCCATCTATTCCATCTATCGCGGAATTTTGTGGATTTTCTCGACCTGTGTGAAGCTATGCACCGTCAGAAACCTCATTTCTGTGCAATTTATTCGATTTCTCTGTAGGTGGGACGGCATGGAAAGTGAAACGTGCTGAAAAATCGCTGGAGAATGCCAAGAAATGTGATCTAGGAAGTTGAGGACCTATTAGGTCTAGGGCAAGAAACTTCACGATAGATTAACCGACTGCTTCATAAGAAAGGGAGTGGTCTCGTGACAAGTGGTTTAGATAGCCCGGAGTTATAAACCGGAAGAGAGGACGCATGCTTCCTTTTTCTTATGGTTAGCTTCGCACCATTCCATGCCTTTACACAAAGCTTCAGAAAACTGCAGTTCTACAAAGTGCTCTCAGTCACTCAGAATCAACTCCTTTACCAAGTAGCACTTCAAGATTTCAATCCATGATGTATGTGGCTGTCATGACAATCTTAACATCAGAGTTCGCGACAGATTCTCACAACGAATACCTTTCCGCATATCAACGATTGAATGCAACCTTTGACCCGCTGTCCTTGGGGTGAATGGCCGCACGAATCTATTTAGCTCTCCCGTTTCCAAATGATTTGTTTCACTTATAAACATCGAAGAAATCACTTTCGTCCCTTCCTCGAGCGGCTCAATGATCAATGCACAGTGTAACACACCTTTTTCATGCTATACTCCTCACAAATTGGGTGTTCTACCATTTAAATGAAGAAGTAACGGCCTAATATTTATCGGAAACCTGGAGGTTCAATATTCAAAGATGTTTATTTAGCGATTCGAGATTGTTACAAGTCCTTTACTTGACCAACGTTTCGGCAGTATTGCCTTCTTCAGATCCTGCGAATCGATTCGTTCCTCCATCCTCCATTTTTTTGCGTCCGCACCTTTAGGTTTTGCGGCCATCCTCAAGTTCCAAACGTTCGCGGCAAATTTTCTCATGGAACATATGGCCTTTTACACATTTCCGTTGGTTTTACACTCTACTTTCCGTGCTTGTTTCTTTATAAGTTGCTTATGAAATGCAGGTCGCAGTTTTGCTATCTATATTTGTAAACAACCTTATGGGACTCTACCGATCTACCCAGGTCTCCATTCAGGGTTCCATGGTAAGTTTGGCGGACTTTCCCCAGCAATCGCCCTCCAGAGGACATCTTTTTTTTCAGCTTACGCCGGCCTCCAGGCCTCCGCATTCAACTTCCATTCTTCCGCGCCGCCGACTGAACGCTATCGGCCGCGCTTTGCACGGAAATGAAGCAATATGTATCCATACCGCCTACCTAACGTCGTTGACATGGGGCACTCGTCAGGGCTACTTGACGACTGGAATGCACCTTGGTCGCGAAATTCTCCTCGTCCGCGGACCTCGCAACAAGTGCGTCGCATGCACCGGAACCACTGACGGCCAATCCCCTGCAAAAGACGATATGGCATCAACGAAAAAAAGATTATGGTCACAGTGTGGTGGTCATCGGCTGGTGTGATCCACTATAACTTTTTGTCACCAGGCCAAACCATCACAGCAGAGTCCTACTGTGAAGAAATCGACGAAATGTACCGAAAATTGCGTCAGCTGCAGCCAGCACTTGTCAACAGAAAGGGTCCGATTCTTCTGCATGACAACGCCCGCCCACACGTTTCACAAATCACTATCCATAAATTGAACGAATTGGGGGTTGAAGTTCTACCTCACCGCCATATTCTCCAGACCTTTCACCAACCGACTATCACCTTTCCAAACATTTTCAGAACTTCCTTGCTGAAAAATACTTCATCATTCAGCGAGCGGTTGAAAAAAGCCTTCGTGGATTTCCGCGGATTCTGAGCGCCCGTTTTTTTCTTTTAATGGGATTATGGAAAGGGGTCCACATTGTAAAATTGCGTGATTCGAGGCGATGTCGAATCAGCGCAATTTCGACGGAATCCTATGAGCATTAAGAAAGTTGTGATCGTTCAAAATGAAACACTCGAAACGCTGAGAAATTTCCGGACAAACTAATATCTGGAATCACCCAGGCTAAGCAATTTGACTTAGATGCTATAAAAGCTCCGCGGCTGATTTCATGATAAGGGCTACTCATTTCTTGTTCTAAAATGCTCAACTGTCTTTGCATACGAATCCTAGTTGATCTAAGAAGGTTATTCTAAGGTTGTAATTTGAATCGAAACTGAACTTATCTCGTGAATCCTGGTCTTTGCCATGTGTTATGTGAATTGGTCCGCGGCTACAGTATGGTGCCACTTTCTATCCCGGGTGCCGTATTCATGCGCTGCCGCGTGGCCAACTACAAATCTAACCATGGTCAAATGCGCCTATTGTCTGCGTCCTCTCACTTCTGGTTGCTTCCTATCACGCCTTCGCTGCGGGATTCTGATATTGAATCAAACGATGTACCTTTAGCATAGCCCGGACGTAGTCGCTGGACGGCAGCCTATCGGTGCCCTCCAGCCTCGCTCCTGTGCACTTTTTAATCAAGAACGTAGCAGGTTACTGCAACTGCGCCCCTTTTACCTTGCCCGTTTATCTCTAAGTAGAAGTACTGCTAATCCGTGTGAAATTTCTGAGACAGAATTGTAGAATTTTTCTATCCGCCGTCTAACTCATGGTTCTCCTTTATATTTTTTGCATTTTTGCAAGAACAGCTTGTGCACACCTTCTATTTTCCTTCTCATTGCCACGTGAGGCGGAGCTCATGAGGAGGTGATAACAGAACGCAACATCTTGTGCGACGGCTAGGTCGTCTGTCGCACTTACTCCCGGTCCGCAGCTACAGTAGGGTGCCACTCTCGCCACTCAAAGGTGCACGGGAATTGGTCGCCTTTGTACTTCTGCGGGTGCTGCCGAACGAACTTCTCTTATCTGGCTGAGATTTTCCACCCTAGGCTTCAGCTTTCCGGTTTTCGAATTTTCTAGAAGGAAAAAAGGAATCAAAAGTTTCAGATTTGACCCTTTCTTGCTCTTCCTTACTCTTCCTTGCAGTTTCTTGTTTTCGTTTACAATCCTTACGAGACCTCCATACGAGTACTTCAAAATAAAAGCTTAACAATTGATTGCGGCTTCAATTGCCCTCGAGGCCCATTAGGCCTATTTTTCAGGAGTCCACTTATTACTGTTTGTCTTGTGTCACGACAGGCTGGCTGAACGACATAACAGCTTTTCATCCGGTTTCCACTGCCGATTCCAATGCAGTGATGAACGAACTACTTCAGGTAATGACAGTTGTAACGCCACAACCGAAGAAGCCGCAAGCTGACAAACTGATTTCCGAGCAGTTCTTGGCAGCCGAACTTGAGGAGGTCGTGAAATTGCGAGAAGAGGGAGAGAAAGTAAGTCCATTTTTTCATTTTTGCTCAATTGCACCCATGAATTCTACCAGGGTAAAGCATCACGCCGCGGAAATTGAGGACTTTGTACTATCTCTAGCAGAACGATAAGAACGATTCATGTTGCATAGGCAGGATCTACACGGAATGCACTACAGCTTTCACCAAACTTGCATGACGGCTTCTGGCCAGAAAGTAGCGCCGAGAATTTTTGGCGGATGCGAGTTTTCTCTTTTTCCAATGATTATAATTTCGTTCAGCCACAATATAGAACGGAGACCTACCCGGCATTCGAAACTAGACGGTTTTGTCTCTTCCTAACGAGCATAACATCTTTGCTATAGCTCAACTACAGCGGAAATTCGCCCGGCGGATTCCGCTTTGAAAGTCAGCTTCAGCTGCAGTATGAAGATCAGCCTCCTATGAAGCCCTACATTTCTATCTAGAAAGCTCGATAGGTCTTCTGTGCACCTCCTCCTCATTGATGGATAGGAATTGCAGCACAGAGGTGCTGATCAACACCTCCATAGAATGCGCCATGGACTCGACTTCGTTCCCGAACATATCACGCGTTCTGCAAGTAACGTCGCTGCTGTGCTAAGTACTGAACCTCTACGACCCTCTCCTTCTCGGAGGAGGCCAAATACGGCCCTTCCGTCATGAGATTTTTCCTGTTTCATGGGTACTATATCCGCCCCTCCTGTCGACAGCAAAATTTGGAAAAGTAGGAAAATCTTTGGGGAATCGGTATATTGGTGCTGGGGAAGGGGAGGGGAGTCGCACCGAGACCCCTTATTCAGATGGTGGGGCCGTACTGACACCCTCTCTCGGAGAGAAAGGGTCGTACCTACACCACTATTTCACACATCACGATGCTGTACCCTGTCAGGGACTAAGTCAAAGTACAACGAACGTTGCAAAGTGTATCCAATTGTTCACAGATAGAATTTACCTGATACGAGCACTCACCATACTGTTTATGTCAGAAAGGAGAGCTGAGAAGAATCACGGAGACCTCTGCGGGTCACGCACAGGACCAAAAATCGCTTCTTTTGCAGTCGCATAGATTGAGAAACCAAGAAAATGAAGTTTGTCCAATGACCACAGTGAGCAGCCGGGGATGGGGTGCGGTAGTGGCTTGAGGTTCAAAGTATCCCTACGCATGCCATGAGATGGGATACTGTTGCGCATGAATTGACCTTTCATTTCTCGAGGATTGAATACATGAGGCGCGTAGATGGATAAAAGCAAATGGCAGCTATCTTGGCAGTTATCAAGTTAAATGCACTTGCAAGCGTTTCCACCTTGTTGGAACTGACACGAATTCATAAAGGATAAAGCTCGCCTTCGATCAGTCCCTTTTTGAGATGCGGCACGCGTTTTGCTTCCATTCGGAATTGTAGTGGCTTATTCAATGCTGTGGCCTATACACACAGGCCTGCGGGGGCCGGCGATGTAGCAACTTAGTGTTCCTATCCGCACAGACAAATCTTGTACCAATTTACCGGCTTTGGAGGGTAGAAGAATCGGTAGGGGTGGGAGGGAACCGTTCCCGGACTTGAACCCGTGCGCGGCCGTGCCGTGTTAATTGCTATTTGCCGTTACACCACCTCCGCCTCAACTGGAGTCATGGACAAAGTGTTATAGGCACGTTCCGACAACATGATCCTTGTGACACTCAGGAATGAAAATGGAGCTGCAGAGTGACCTACTGTAAGTAAAAAAAGTCCCTAGAAGACCGCCGAAAGTTAACGAAGTGTGGATCTCATCACACACATGCCTTTTTTGCATGAAGGAAACTTTTGAATAAGTTCGCCGTATTGGTTATGTGTGGTAAATCGAGTGCCTTTCCGCCTTTCTTCTCACCAACACCTCTCCTAATAAATTTTTTGGAATAGTCTGCCTTTGTTAATCAAAGATGAAAGTGTTTAAAGCAGGCCATTATGTTATCACCCGCTGAACGTCACGCGTAAAAACAAAGCGCATCCGTGAGAAATAATGCTGTTAAAATAGTGGCGATATCAGCTGCAAAGTCTAGACGGCGGCTGCGACCGTGTAGCCTAGTTCAGGTGATATGAAGGCACTCGCGCCACTGATTGGTGCAGCAGACCACAATGTCGTGGCAGCCGTGCTGTATAGCTAACATCTTTCGTTCAATATGAGAGGGTTCAAGACTAATACGTCTTTAAGAGCGCAAAACCTGAAGGACTGGGCTTTGTCTGGCGATCCTTTTCAACCCCAGCGGAGCGGAAGATCAGCACAGCCTGCTCAACAAATATCTAGGTTAGAGCTATTTCGATCTATCCGAGGTGCACCGACAGGGCGAAAGAAGTGATGCAAATGGTGTCGCGTTCGCGACATTTGCACCAGTACCTAGGATTTAACATGCTGTAGGTGTCAAATTGACTAACTAGAAAATACTCTGCGAATTTTCAACTTGATATACTTGTTTCCTATTATGCCAACAAGGTGTCCAGGTGGAACTTCTCATTAATGGTTGACGTTTGGACTAAATGTCATCCTCAGAAACTCAGTCTGCCAGTGCATAAGTGGAACGACAGCACTCTGCGTTAGTTGTGGCTAGGTACTAAGTAGCTCACTTACTTACTAACCAGAACTGTCTCACTAATTTTAAGTAGCTAACTGCTTACTAGTCGCATCTAACACAGAATGGTGTCGTTCCACTTGTGCATTGGTGGTCTGGGCTTCTGGGGACGGCGATCGCGTCGGAACTCCAGGCCATGTGAATAGTTCCGCTCTCAGCCTCGTAACGCTGCAGAAAAGAAGTATGTCAAAAATCAAAATAAAGGCGAGTTTCAGGAAAAGAGAAATAAGACACTGTGAGTTAGCAAACGATTTCACGATACATGTCCTCAACTACACCCCTCCCCCTATTCTACACATGGACCTTTCTGTGGCCTGATGTTCAGACGTTATCCGAAACAAGCGGAACAGTCGCTCTGCAAAGCTGAAACAGTTTATTGGTCTATACTGCTTGGCCAAGCGTGAATGAACCTGTAAATATATGATTTTGCCCAAGTTCTTCTTCCCAGAGCATAGTTTTCAATATTTCAGATTCCCTACAAACGAGAAATTGTGTGGAGGAATGTGATCCTGTTTGCTGGCCTACATGTGGGAGCCGTCATCGGCTTGTACCAACTAATTTTCATCGCTAAATGGACAACTTTGTTCTGGTGTAAGTGGTAGTGCAGAGTAGGATTGGTTCAACTACACCGTATATCCCTGAGATGGAGGCGGCGTGGCATTTGAATATGGCGCAGAATGACAGTTGGCTCGAAGGATATATTTCTGTTTGAGACATGCTGTCACCGTGCTCTGCTGTTGGACGGAGACCGACCAAAATTGTGTAAAACGAAATATTCTCCCAACAGGCCACGCCCACCACATAGGTGACGTACGCAACCACATCACAGGGATTCCGAGTGCATGTTTTAGCAAGAGGAAATTTTCGATACATTCGATGGTTGGCTCAGAAAATACGCAGATAAATCGCTAGCAGCCACATAGATAGTAAAGAGAACTTCGCTATGAAAAGGAACCATCGCGGCCATCTAGGGGAATACACTACTGCAACCCGTTTACTTTTCTGCAAATTGCGCAACTATCTTAATTTGCGACACCGGTCAACAACATGAAAGATCGGTTGTTCTGTTACCGTTCTCTATTCACACCGCAGCCAGTTTCTCAGTGGGCAGCTTACAAGGTAGGGAGGGGATTTTTCCAGGTCACGGAGATCCTTTTTAGGCCATGCTTGATTTAGGGGTCATCGCATAAGATAGAAAAAGTGAGACTCATTTTCACTGATTGATTCCAGCAATGCCGAAAACAAGTCAACCGAAAGGGTTTTTGGTTTGATTTACGCGCCGCGGCGACAAAAGTTTGCATTTATATTGTTCTCATTATCTTCCTTTCTTATACTCACTATCCTTTTGCCCGAATAAACTCGAAACTCGGAAAAAAGCTAAAAATGGTTCAAATCGTAGTTTCTGACCCCTCTGAACACTACCATCATTGCCCACCACCG